CATGAGAATGGGAAGGCTGATGGAGCCAGCTTTAGGCTTGAGCTTGGTTTGGGGGTTTTTGTTTTTTTTTTTAATCACAGGAAGATAACTGAGACAAAAAATAAACAAATCTGAAAGCTATACTATAAAACAAGGACTACCTAAAATGAATGCTTTACAAATTTCAAATTTACAAGGATCTCAATAATCTACGGAGGTTTATGTTTTACTTGCAGGCATGATATAAAGGGGATTTAAGTCCCTTAAAGGGGTTTTTCATTCCCTAGAATGCTTATTCTGCATGTATTTTGCCAATGGGCATGTGTACATACAGTAGCAGACATGTTAGACTGGCAAACTGAAAATCAGACCTTAAATACATCTCTATTTTGCTTTGAACAATCTAGGCAAAAGAAGAATTTTAAACAGGCAAGACCATCTCATTTTGAATACTAATTAGTTAGTTAATTATTAAATTTCTTTTGACCATATACAGTTTTGGAATTTCTAATATATAGTACAGAAGAAAAATCTTTTGATTTGACAGTGAGGGTAATACACCAAACTTTTGAATCTTCCAGGTGACTACTCACTCCTCTGAATATAAAAAAAACAATGCATTCAGAACTTACAAAGAAGATATTTGTTAAGAACTGACTTTTAATATTTGGGGAGTATTTCTGTGGTTACTTTTATAGCTCTATGGTTGTTTTAAAGTAAAATCATGCACAAGATTTCAGGATCATATTCTATGCCCTTTCATATATTTTAAATACTTGAAACTTTTTTAAAGTTTTCTTTTCTGCAAGAATTTTCCTTGCCTATAATTAGCCAAAGAGCTGTATTTCTGAAAAATATGAGGAGAATCTATTCATTATTTTGCATAGATTAATAAAAAGACAAAACTTGCCCAATGAATGCTTCTTGGCCCCATACAACTAAAAAAATCCTTATATACACGGAATTCAACAACTTTGTCTGATTAGTCAAGAGGTACCTTAAATCTAAATTATTACTATTCTATAGGTTGTAGTCTCTAGGGAAGTAGGAAAAAACATTTAAAATAATGGCAAGCAATGGAAAAGCAGGTATAAAGTATAGAATATTTCCACCCTAATTGAAGTAATGACTCTGATTACAAGACAGTGGAAAAACAAGCTCATAAACTATTATAAAGGCTAGTTAAATAAAATGTGGGGGTTGCTATTACGTATATTTATTGTTATGATTGCCATGTCACCTTTTCTGAGTTTGCATCATTAACCGTACTCTGTTGTGGTAGGAAGTATAGGCATGTGCAACACAATAACTGTCTGCTTCAACTGCTATAAACCTAAATTTCAGATATTTTCATCCTCTGTGGAAAAACACAATTAAGTACATAACAATTTAAAAACAAGAATTTTAATTTCCTCTTTAAGAACAAATATAAAGAAAATTAAACTATAAGAAAGCATAACTATAGTACACAGGCTGCAAGTTTAAACACTCAGAAGCTGAAAAAAACATAAAAGTCCAAACGATTGCTAGTTCACTTTCAAGTTCTTGTATTACACTCATGAAATTAATCTTTCAAATCTTACTTTGACTTACATAGACTGAATTTTGCCCAAGATTATCAATATATAACTTTCACTGATTTCTGAATTTCTGGAAACAACTCAGCCATGCACATATGCAGGTGAGAGGATTAAACTTTATCTTTTTATGTTCTGGCTTTTGAGGGTAGAAAATTTTATTTGTGGGATTACAAGAGCACTGTTTTCATGAGTATAGTACATGTATCACAGCAGCGTTCTTGGCTTTATTTACGTCAGTGGAAAGCCTTCCATCAAAAGCCAGAATTTTTTTTTTTTTTTTAAAAGTGAATGATCAAATGTCAATAAGCAAGAAGATTGATCAATCCCTATTTTAAGTTGCCTAATGCACTCTGTAATTAGAAGGAATACTTTCTTTGGAAAATTCTACCATCTCTACAGGTCTTTACTATTTTTTGCAGGTTTTTACTATTCACAGGGAGAAATCCCTCAGTTTGTGGAAGTACCTTGCTTTTGTGCCTCTGAATTCAAAAGCATGACTTCCTCTCATCTGTATTTCCCAGGAAAAACACTGGCAGCCTGCCCAGACCCCTGAGCATTTTGACGGACCAAGCCTACAACTCCCTCATAGCACTCGGATGGGGATGGTGAAGAGCTGATTGATTAGTTACATCAAGGGGAATCAGGCTATGCTAGAGTCAGCATTTCCTGTCGTCTTCCAGACCCAGTACATACCACTGGCATTCCACGTACCTGATGGCACGAGAGAACAGGTACTCCTCTAACTTTAACCACAAGGAGAGAGGGGCAGAGAAAAAATGAATTACAAAGCTGAGCTGGCATTTCCAGGACCCAGAATCTTATTTCAGTTCTAAAGCAGTAGCTCCCTCAAACTCCACGTAAAGAGAGAAACCCAGACCAGTCAGAAACCCAGCCATCACCTTCAACCCCAGACCATGGCTCTAGCAGCCAACACCAACACTCTTCTTTCAGGGCAGGAATACATCACCTCTCAATGATGGGGACAAGGGGGGCACTGAAATCAGTCTCCTCGTCTCTCTTGTAGGTCTATCACATGATACCAACACTTCAATAACCTCCTAGAGAATAAACCTTCTCCTGCAGCTGGCTCGTCAGCCCTGTAGCTGAAGCCATTGAAGACAAAGCAAAATGCTTTGGGTTCAAATTTGTTTTATGACAACATGGTACATAAAATAACCTATCCTCTAAATAAAATTTAAATGGCAACATACAAAAGATGGTACTAAAACAAAACAGAACACCATTTATACTGCTAACATGAAAATTAAGATTAGTAAGCACCGTTTAATGGCTGTTCATAGAACTAATTTAGTCATTGGAATACACATTATGACCTTTAATGACACAATCATATGTTTTTACACTGAACTTCTAGCTCATTCACTTCACAAGTTAAAAATGAAAGGAGCTGAAATAAATTCTCAGAGCAAGTGTAAAGTTTCCACCCCTGAACTTCTGGGCAGTTGATTTTGTAACCTAAATAATATTATTGCAATGCATTTTACATGATTGCAATCTAGTTTTACATTCATGTATTCCATGTTTCGTCAGGTAAAAAAAAAAAAAGTCTGTCTAAAATAAAGCCAGACAAGCATGAAAGGTCCCCTACCGAGGTCAAGGGGACTGGATATGAACATCTGAGAAGAGAATTCAACTCTTTAACAATGTTTTATCTCTCCTGTAGTTTACTTCAATATTTATTTTCTGTACAGTTAGCAATGTGATTATGTTACCACTACACAGCCCTTTGCATCCATAATACTGCCACTCAGTGATCCTGTTACACTTCCACATAGGGAACCTGGGTAAGAAGCAGCCCATTCACTCTCCTCTTCACATTTGAACGTCAGAAACCTTGTGGACAAAAACCCTTTTTCTGTCTGATGGTGCTGATCACATGGTTCCCACTCACCCATCCACAAACGTTAACAGAAAAACGTTTCTTCACTGTGGGGAGAGAAGCATCAGTGATGGGGAAGGTAGTTTAGGAAAGTTACCAATGAAAAGAGACAGCCTTACAACAAATGAAAATCCACTGTATACTGTTATCATCCATCTAAACAGACACCCTTACATTACCAATGTATAATTCATTTGGAAGACTCTTTCTTTCCTCTTCAGTGACTTATTAATGATTCATTAATAAGCTTTGAGAGTAAGAGCAAACAGGTGTGGAAGACATCGCATTCAAGAAAATTTTAGTACCAGCTTACCCAACTGAAACTTGCATCTTTACTCTCTGTGTACCAGATGATGAAAACCATGACACTACCCTGAGGCTTCAAGCTGCCACTCACTGGCTCTCTCTATACTGCAAGATCACAGTCAGCTTCCATATCTATAAACAAGTCACGGCAGAAACCCATGGCTGTATCCCAGCCTGAGGTAAGACTTGGGCATGCACAATTCCTCAGCTCCCTGGTATCCACCAGACATGAAGAAGGGTACACAGGCTAGAAGGGAGTCGTGCCGTGTTACAGCTATTCCTGATCTGTATATCTGGGGAATCAAGTCTGCACCAGCCCCTAAAGTCAAGCACTGCCCATTTTGTACATAATCCCCTTACTTTGAGAGACAAATTACGTCTTTATTTAAAAACTGAAAAGGCAGAAAAAGCATGTGTTCAAACTGTGTTTATAAACAAGTCTGAGATACAGAGTACTGCCTTAGGGAAGCTTTCATGGAGAACTGATCACAGTTTAGAAAATAGCAGAAGAGAAGATACATAGACATCTGTCCCATTGCTTTTGAACAGATACAATTAATTAAATCAGCATGTGGAGCCTTTTGGGTTGAACGAGTAATATTTTGTCAGGGGGTTACAGCAGTAACATAGGTACTACCTTAATTCTGGATGCTTAGGTACACTGTAGATTCTTCTATACATGATAACTAGTGGGAACCTACAGCTACTAACAACTCTGGTCCAGAAAAGTGACTGACAAGTCTCGTGCTGCCTTGGTACTGATAGTATCTTCACTGCACAAGGCTATGATATCACAGCTAATCCACAGCTAAATTCCACAGCGCATTCTTTCACCTTGCTTCAAAATCAAAGCTGTTTGTAGGTTTTTCAAGTGACATAATGCCCATGGCAAATTAAGAACAAAAAAATGTCTTTGACAACGGGAACATTTCCTTCCAGTTGTGAAATGTTTGGAAAAAGAAACTAAAACAAAAAAAAAAGTTCTGTAAAAAAGGAGAAAGATACCCCTGCTTTTCCCCTCAAGGATAAACCAATTCCCAGCATACTTAGCATTTTGACAGACACAGAACAGTTGTATTCCACTTCAGAGTGTTGTACAAATACAAGGACTGCAGCCAGGCTCTTCCACCCTACAACTCTACGCACAAGGAATCAGTGGGGAGAAGGCTATTGGATAATGGCTATGCCGGATTCTCCCCAGCCATGCTTAGAAATCAGTTTCCTTATTTCCTTACCCTCTGTTTCCGTAGGCTTCCTGGGCTGGTGGGAGATGGGCTTGGAGACTTCCCAGAGCGGGGAGTAGAAAGCTGGCTACCAGGGGTTCCATTCACTAAAAGGACAATAAATTGAAAAAATAAATATAAGGCATTATTAAAAACAAAGAAGTAGTTAAATCAACATGTTTCTTTTCATTCTTTGTTGAACAGATTAATTTGCTTTTGCTTAATGTTTTAATCATTAAATAAGGTAATTCACAAAAGAACTGTTTCCTCAGAGTTTTGGCTCATGAAGCCAATTTTTATACAGAGTGCAAGCAAATAATCAACAAACCTGAAAAGACTGTTTAGTCAATGGCAGAGAACATGTTTTCTTAAACTGTATTGTTCCTGTGCTTGAATGTTAAGAGGAAGCAAGGTGCTTTGTTAACCTTAACAGACAGTTGCTATATGTAAACCTTTTCATTCCATTTAGTTATGGCTTGAAGTGCTACCCACCAAAAATAAAAAGCAGTACTGCTTGCAAGAACAAATCAGCTACTTGCTGTTCCTCACTCATTCATCTGAAGAGATTTTTTAAATACTATCTGACCTAAACATCACCTCAGACTTAAGCCAGAAGGGCTTTCTAGAGGCAAATACATTGGATGTAACACCTCAAGTCTGACTTACAGCAAAGCATCACTTTCTCAAATAAATATGTTCCTTCATATATGTCAGTGCCTATCATTTTAGAAGCATCTTTTGCGTGCATGTGACATTATCCATTAAATTAACAAAACAATACCAGCAGAGGACAGAATTCTACTACAAAGTAATCACAAGAGGCTATCAATAATGTTCACGCTGAAGCACTGATAGAAACACTACAAAGCGTGTATCACATATATAAATAAATATTCTTAAACAAGCAACTGTTAATTCACAGTCCAAATTTGTCAGCACCAGGAAAAAAAGAATCAACAATCAGATTTCCAGATTCTGAACTTAGGAGAATATTTACATACTAGGATATCAACAAGGCATTTGACTTACCTTCTATGAGTTCTAACATGGACAAAATCTTACTGTTTAACCTGATAATAGCAAGCAGCAAAATTCCTGCTCAGCACTAAGCCAAGCTGTAGCCAAACTGAGAAGCAATGGGATTAGTTAAGGATAGCTGGGGCTGCTCACAGAGTGAGCTGAATGCGATGCAGGATTCATAAGCAGAAGCCTTTTCTGCGTAAGGCTGACGTCTTCAGAGCAGCAGTGGGAGGTGCAGGTGCTGTCTTAGGGCTACATCAAAGGTGTCAATTAAGCATAATGCTGCTGCTTCACAACGCTGAGCCACCGCAACCCCCACTCGCTTTCCATGGAGCCCCGAAAGCCTAAGCAATTTTATATACTGTGCATTGAATCATAATGAGGTGCCTTTGGGGGCAATATACCAAATGACTCATCCGAAAATCAAAATGACAATAACTCTTGTAAAATCTTGGCTGACTGGCAATCTAGCAAATGCTAATTCCTTTGGATAATACAGTTGGAATTTTTAATAGATTTTTCTTACTTTTACATAATACATTGTTCTCACTGGCTAATACTGGGCCCACATATTATAAGGAAGAAACATGTATACCTACCACACCACTCACATCAATAAAACACATTACACTGCATGACAGATAATGATCACTTAATAGTACTTAGGTGCTATGAATGATCAGATCTCAATATCACTTTGTGCAAGGCATTATTTAAGGTAAAGTTGCAATATATTTGTATAACTATAGGACTAAACAAGACACACTTATTTGCAATTTAAATAGGCTGCTTTTCTAGAAAACCATTCCACTCATCTAGGCTTCAAATTCTCTTTGTACAGAGGACAATGCTTTGCACATATCAGCACTGATTCAACTGTTGTACTAAGTGTGTGGGGGAGAGCACATGCATATGGACACATTCACTGAAGTTCATACAGTATTCAGCAAAAACACCCCATAAGTTTGGCCAATAATGACTAAAATCAAATTTATTATCAATACTTCTGAAAACATTCAGGAAAAGGGCAACATAAGGACATTAAAAATGAGCTTTTTGGAATCTCAAACTTCTAAAGTTTTAAAGGGCTTCTTATAAACAAATACAATATTATTTAGAAGCTAATACTAAACTACTACTATTCACATGGAGCTAGTCCTCAAGACTGCTCAGTAACAAGACTAGTGCTCTGCCTTCTCTTTAAACCAAGCAGATATTCTTAGGTCTTATTATTATGAGAAAATTTAAGTTAACAGATACACTTCAATAAACCTTGTAGCACTAGGCACCGGTTCCTGTTCCTTATAGATTAACTCCTTCCCCATAACTTTCAACAATAGTTTTTCTTAGAATTACTATTGCAATTATTCTGTCCTGAAGACAAAGACTTGAGGCTACCAGGTGGACCAGACAAATAGATGCAATGGTGTATTTGACTCTTGATGTATTTCCCATATGTACCATGTTGATGAGTATCTATTTGAGATGAAAAAACACAGTTTTTAAACCTAAACAGTTTTTAAACCTTTAAACACCCTAAAAATTAATCACTTGCCACCACCAGAGTATCCAGAGTGTTTAAGCTAAGCTCCAATACTCTCCCCAACAGCACTTTTTAAAAACGGAATTTATGATAGTTGTGCTTGTGTTGGCCATCTGTAATATGTGAAATCAAGAGCACAATTAATGGATCAAGGCCTTCAGGAGATTTAAGGGGAGTTTGCTCACCTCCTTACCCATATCCAAAACACAAAGGTGCTAAGTACATAAAACGCATACCAGGATTTTTGTGAGCTTACAAGGACTCCCCATGGAGAGCTGTTAAGGAAACTCTAGAGATGACAATTAGCACTGGGGATGAGATTCCTTTTACCAATCTTTAGGTACCTACTGTGTAGGCTTCTACATCTGAAGTAGTTTTCTAGACCTTATTTTAACCAACTTGCTGTCATAGCACGAGTTGTATCATCCCTAAGCAACCGTCTAAAACAGACCTGATGAACAATGTACTAGGAGCATCCACTGCAGTGTAGACTTCTGAAGTTAGGCAAGATGAATCCAAACCCATGAACCTAGAGGTTTAGGATATGCTGGAGATGAAGCAAAATCATCAAAATTTTCCCCACCTACCAATTTTAGTGGATTTTATTCCAAGCGCAGAACTCCATTAAATAAACTCTGATGACTGAAGGCCATACAGAGTCTACATTAGGGTCAACCTGAACAGGGACTTGGATGACGTGGGTTCTATTCCCAGCTCTCTATATGCACCTGCACAACATCAGACAAGTCATGTCATCTCTACCACTTGTCTACTTAGGCTTTAATATCCGGCAGAATGAACTCTCTGTGCACATCATGTTGTCTGTCTTCTGGATGCTCTGCATACTTGGAGATATACATTACTACTTCCACTGATATTATTACTGTAATGCTTAAGACAGACATCACAACAGGGAAGAAATGGTAATTCCCAATAATTCCCCAGTCCATTCCAGGGGCCCTCCTTTTTTATCTTCTTGTTTATGGCTTGCTGGCCATTCCACCTCTGACTCTAGTTCCTTGCGAGTCATTATACTGAATTTGCAAATAGAGTTGATATTAGGTGCTGTGTAGCAGGAAGAGACTGGACTGATTCTGACCCCCTTCCTGAACTCCATTTACAATCACAACACCATTCTTACGCATGCAGCTCATGATCAGATAACATGGCAACAAATATGTGAATAAAATCAATAATATTTAATAATAATGCATTCCTGATAAGTACAGGAATATAGTCTAAACTGCCCTAAAATCCATTTCTAGGTGGAATGCATTCTGGTTGGAAACTGCATTCCTGTCCAGTATCTGCACTGCATTTCTCACTGACTGATACAGCACATGTTCCTACAGGGAACCCTGATGTAGATAAAGACATATGAAATTGGTAAATCACTGTTGTGATTAATCATGTTATTGAGTGAGGCAAGAGGTTTCTTGTCACTTTTTATTCATAAAATGGCCAGGGTCAGAGAATTTAGCTTAATGCACAGCACCCTCCCATTGTCTCATCAAAAGGATTTATCCATTCAAAATTTCACAGGTGAATATGTATTAAAAAGCTAAAACAATAACAAAATTATTGTGGCTACTCTGAGAAGATGTATGCAACTGCTTAGCTATGAACTCCTTTCCTTACTGTCCTCTCTTGCTGAGGATGCATAGCAGGGCAAGAACCTGTCTTTGTTTTTCCAGCACCTGGCACACACATGAAGGTAGAAAACCACATAAAATAGAAGGCTAAAGCTGGATACCATCATCTACTGAGATAAATGCAAAATAGGTTTTCATATGAAGATATTTATAAACTAGTGAAAATGCTGTAAATAAAAAGTACTTTGATAGCATTCCAATAAATACATTTTGATAGGGCATCTTTTTATTAAGAAATAAAAAGTGAGAAAAGCTGAATTAAAGTATCAAGTGCCAGTCTGAGAAGCTGCCAATGCCACTGCATTGTATTAAAATCATACACTCCTATAAAACTGCCTGTTGATGTGTTAGCATCTTGTACTCTATAAAAAATGTTGAGATGACTCTGTGTGTTTATAAAAGTGGTTTGCCGAACACAAGTGTGTGTGAAGAGGAAAGAGAAGACTAAAGGAAAGGAATGGTGCAGGCTTTTTTGCAGCCACAACTTATTCATGACTAGGACAGCCAAAACTAAAAAATTATTTACAGAAGACACAACAACATGTGTAGGTCATATTCAGCAACTGTTAGCTAGAAAATGGTGATGTGAGATCACTACTGGACCTTGTCCCAATTACTCCTGTAGTTTGTCACTATCCTTTCCAAAACAACATTTTTGTCTCAAGAAGATTATGTAATTACAAAGTAGTTAGGGAACAAACCATACCTTGCCTTTTCATTCCTTCTGCTTTTGTATTCTACTTGTATACACCTCATCATCTTTGTCTTCATTGCAAAGGAGAGAGCTTGTCCAGAGCACCACATTAAGCAAGCACCCTCATTATCACTCCTCAGTAAAGACAAGGCTTTGTAGATTCTACCTTAGCATGCAACTGGTTGAGAAAAATCCCAA